GCTTGTTGACCTTCGGCTGCTGGGACAAGCTCTCCTCAACTAAGAGAATCTCGAATGTGCTGCCATTGATGTCAAGGGTGAATCGAAGCACTGAAGGCTTCTTGTCGAACGCAAGGCTCCAGCTGTAAACACCGCCTGTGCGGAAGGCGCGTGTAGGCACAGGGGCATGGCTCGTCGCTTGGAGGGCCGAGGATACCACAAAGCAAGGTTCGATGGCAGGGGGCCAACCGCTGGAATTGAAGGGAAATCTCGGCACAATATGCATGTTTTCCTTCGTCAAACGAGGGTCGGTGGGCAAAACAGCTCTACGAATGCTTGCGATGTTGTCGTGCCACGCACGGACAGCTAGTCCTCTGCGCGTAAGCGCGATGCCAGCGAAACCTGTGGTGTTCTGAATGACTATTCGGATTTCCGCCAAATCGCGGACAGTCGGCGGCCAGAACTTCGGAACCACGGAAAGATCATCGTGGCTGTGCTGCTTATCTAGGTAATCTCGAAGGAGAACCGCTTGCGCACCACTCGAAGCCAGGATAGCAGGCCGCTGCTTCATGGGCGATTTGATAATGCATTGCCACTGCACTTCATGTTTCTCTGCGGTCGGATGCTTGCAAACACGCATGGCGTAAAAGGCAAGGGAGTCCTTTAGGTCCTGGTGCAAGGCGAAAACATTGCGGCGAATGAAATCCATTGGTGCAGCTTTGACCAACTCCAGGTCCTGGGGAGAAAGCAAGCAAGTGTCAACCTCAGCAACGATTTCGGTGACCTCAGTGGCAGTGAGCGAAACAGACGGTTTCGGAAGGCTGTACGTGATAGTACCCTGCAAGGGCAACAGGAGCACCAGTCGTTTGTATTCCGACCCCAGAGCAGGATCTTTGAGAATGAGCTCGAAAGGTCCCATGAGCTTGGGAGCAAGGTCACCGAAGGTTTGCTTTTCAGCATTGGGAAGGATGACAACTGCGGGTGCAGTGGGGGCTGAACGAATCAAATCCTGGATGCTGGATTTGGTTGCTAAGACAGCCCCAGCTTTCCTGGCACTCATTTGCAATTTGTGGGTCTGATCAAGCATATTGCCCTTAGCATCCAGCACAGGGTGTTTGTCTGGCAACAAAAGATCTTCCCATTTTGTGGAAAAGAGGCGCTTGGGCTTTTTGGCCCACGGGTCACCAGCAGCCCACGGATCCTGAGCGACGTTGGTCTTCACAGAGACACCAGGTGTGGCGAGAGGCTCAGGCATGGCAGCAGCATCATCAACGCCCCCTGCAGCATCAAAGGCCTCAGTGGTTCGACCCTCAAGAATGCGGCATAAAAATCCATTGCGGACATCGTATGCGAAGTCAATCGTGGCCTCATCCGCCCCAGAGTTTTCCCAGAAAGCGAAGTCGGTGCCCTTGATGGTGCGAATCAACTCTCGGTGGCGAGAGGAAGCAAGGATATCCAAGAAAGCATGAGGTGTGTCAGGGAGCACAAGCTGCATGCGTTGGAAAAATCCATGAATCAGCGACCAACCACACATGCCAGGAGGCGTTTGGAACGGAACAGGTACCCCTTGGATTTCTTCAGCAGGAAGGCCGATGAGGTTGGCAATGTGGCCGATGAAGGCCGGGATGTAGCCAAAAATCTGCGGAGGACCGTAGCAGAAAAGCATTTTCTATCCTGTAGCGCCAACAGTGGCCCACGCATCTCCAACCGACAAGTCAAGCTGAACCCAAGTGCCATCGACAATCAGGAACCAAGTCACACTAGTGTGATGACGGAAGTCCGGTGTAAGGCCTTGAAAGTAGATGAAGGCAGCGGAGACGGAGCACCATCTGGCTGGAGGGCAGAAGCATGTCTGGTGCATGGTCTGGCGGGGATACTCAAGAATCCAATTGGAAATATGGGCCGGGAAAGCCAAGCACAACAACAGTGACAAGGTGGCTGGCGCGATTGACCTCAACTGCACACCAATGCGATCTGAGAAGGATCGGGATGACAGTGAGTCGGTTATTAGGAATTGCAAACTCGGCTTGCAGCCCGAAATCGAAGTCACCATTTTCATCATCCCAGTGAACAGGCAAGGAGAAGAAGGCATACCCTGGCGCAGTCCATTGAATGTGCTGAGTCCAAAAGGCCATTTCATCCTCGGCAAGCCACCCAGTGGTGTTAACCGCAAATTCACATCTGGCTTCGAAGGTTGCTCCTGGAGCAAGCACATGTGGTCCGCCAGCGTGATGGCCTCCGGCATGGATGGGACCTTGGTAGGAGAGAGTGAGGACATCTCCATGGCAAATCCGTGAATCTTCAAGCCACTTCGCACTATTGCAGCACTCAATGGTGAAAGCGCACAATCCAATATGAAGCTGATTTGAACAAACAGGTTGGCGTGTCAAGCACGCGGCACCGATGGCACCGTTTGCACGAATGAAGCCAAACCAAGGCTTGTCATCACTGTCTTCCTTGGGAGCAAGGAAGAAGGCACAGGTGCTTGGTTCCTGCACCTTAGAGACAGTCAGGCGCAGCTTTTTGCTCAAAGGTTCAGGCCCATCAGCAGAGGGAACACTGAGCGACGCATCAGATACCAGGCCTGTGAAAGACATGGCAGGCGTGCGAAAGGCGAAGACAGCTGGCATTCCAAGGCCACCTGAGAGGCATTCTTCGGTCTCGGTGAGGGAAAGTCGAAAGGCCTCAGTGGAGGCAATGGCATCGAACTCTAAATGGCATGGGTTCACAGCCTGTCCCGGGGAAGACACAGGCATGCTCGCAAGCAACGTGGGCGAGATGGCACAGATCTTGGTGGTTGGCTCAGTATGGAGCGGAGGGGTGCTCTTTGCCTGATAGTGCCTCATGCATACATCAAGGAATGGCCTTCCGTCAATGCAGACCTGGCATTGGTGTACAATGATAGCAAAGTCCTTCAGAGAATAATTGTGGCAATGTTTGAAATCTTCGTTGCAGCAAAAAATGTGACTGCGGACATCGAATTGCCATGAGAAGATCCCAGAAACTTGTGACACAGTCCACCGTGACGGCAGGTAAATCACTTTCGTGGTGCCTAGGGTGCGATGCGTGATGTGCCAAACCACACAGTCCTCGGCCAAAGGTGCGCTTGAGGCTTCAATGGTGAACTCATTGATAAAGGCCTGAACGGAGCAAAGGATGGCAAACCGATCGCCCAGAATGACAAAGCTCGAAAAGCTGGTGAGCCGGCTGGCCCAGCAGCGCATGACGAGGTCCGTGACCGGGACATCCCATGACAAGATAGCTTTGAGAGCGACACACAAGGTGAGAAAGGCCTGCGGTACCGAAATGGCATTGCCTATTTGTTTGAAGGCCAACACGATTTTGGAGGACACGACCACCGATTCTGTGGCTCCCAACAAGGCACAATGGGCGAATGGATCGACGAAAAAGAAATCTTTGCCATCACTGTCCAACATCGCGAAAATGCCTTTCTCCAGCAAATGCGACTTGGCTAAGTTATGTTGATTGCTGTAGGACGTGCACAGCGTCGGCAAGGCATCGAATGGGTCTTGACGTCGAACTTGCAGAACTCTCTGGATCGAAGCATCCGCAGGGATACCTTTCCGCTTGGCAGGTGGCAGCATCTTGACATCGCCATAAATGCACATCTCGGATTGTGACAAACACAGCTGGTCTCTGAGTGGTTTCGGTACCTGGAATCTATAGTGCTGCGCAGACCACGGAATCAACCGTTCGGCACGAATCGGGAGAGGTGGACCCTCCGCATGCATAAAGACATCATTGCGCATCCAAACTCCTAACCATCTTGACCTGTGAACGTGAGCCAAATGATGAAAAGGCACAACACATTGCCAAGCACAAGAGTAACCACCCCACTGGAGCATGGCCTCCAGCAAAGCAAAATGACTGTGGGATGCGAGTTCGTCAACACACTCGAATGCCAGCAGGTGCGGTTGCCCTGCAATTGCTGTTCTGATAGCATCAGCGAATGCCCACCCTTCAGGGCATGCAAGTCCTGCAGATCGGCCACCACGTGACCACGGCTGGCAAGGCGGTGACGCAGTGAGGTACAGGTTCACCTGAGGTGCCAACAAATGAAGGATAGTGTGGTCAAAGATCTTCGTGTGGACAAATGCATGCGGGTGAAATTCGAAAGCTCTTCTGGGGAGCAAGGGACCAACATGTGACGGTTTCCGATAGCGCTCAATCCAGATTTGAGTGACTTCGGCATCAAAATCAACACAAACTTGGGCGCCTATGCGAAATGTGCAAACATGCTGTGCGATCTGGTTGACCGCCTGCTCCCAGCCGTTGAAAGCTCCCGAAAATAAATGCAAGAAATCCCAAGCCGCTGCAGCCTCAAAGACAGGTCGCTTTGTGAGTGTAACCTGGCTATCAGCCTTCCACGAGGTAGTCGACTGTTGCTGGATCCGTCCACAGCAAATAATCTCATCACCAACGTGGAACGAAAGAGCCCTATCCTGAAGGCCAGGGATGGAAATCGTCGACGGGACGGCAGGTTCCATGAGGAATCCCTTCATTGGAGCAAAATGACCAAGGTCAATCATGAGTGCATCAGAGAGGGAGCCAGTGAAGACTCCCGCCAGAATAGCTACGTCATCCCAAAGAACACCTGGTCCGGCATGTAGACCTGCAAAAACACCCTTGGCCTTTGCAGCCCAAAGGGGGTCGTGCAGGGACCCAATCAGCTCATCAACAATGTCCATGGCGCGAGGCAAGAAAAGGCTCAAGCTCAAAATGCCACAAGGTCGGGTGGCAGGTCAAGCTGTGGCCTGCCTCTGTGGACGATCTACGCCTTCTTCGCAGAAGGTCGCAAGATCCGCGGGCCCCCGGTGTCCGTGAAGCGAGTGGCAATTTGAGCCAAACGCCTAGTAGCTTCTTGTTCCTAGCAGTATATATAATATATACAGTATATGTACATACAGTGCAGCACGCCCATGTTTGATGTCCCAACGAATTGGCTGCGAGTACGAGACAAGTTAAGACATGAATCAGCCTTGAGACACGGCAAACCAGACCTGTTTTTCTCTCGATGAGGGGACGCTTGTGAGGAGTTGCCACCACCAAAAGCCGTGCCCGGCGGGCAAGGGAGCTGACAGTACAAGTGAGCCATGAGCGTTCCTTGCAGCAAACAGGAGGAAGAAAGAAAGTTCAATGCCCCACGTCAAAAACATGCAACAATCAAACCCGCAAATCACGGCGGAAGTGACCTTAGTGCACAAACAAAGCATGTCACACACTATTTTCATGTATCGCAGGCCTCGCAAAAACAATCCACCCCCCTCTCTCTTTTTCGTCGGTGCTCATCTTGATGTTCTTTGCACTGAATTCGAAACCCAGCCGTAGGCCCTTGTGGGATTCGAACCCTTCCGGGTGTCTCTCTCTCACTCTCTCTCTCTCTCTCACTCTCTCTCTCTCTCTCTCTCTCACTCTCTCTCTCACTCTCTCTCTCACTCTCTCTCTCTCTCTCTGTGTCTCTCTCTGTGTCTCTCTCTCGCTCTCTCTCTCTCTCTCTGTCTCTCTTTCTGTCCATCCGTCCGTCCGTCCGTCCGTCCGTCCGTCTGTCTGTCTGTCTCTGTCTTTCTGTCCCTTAAAAAAGACCTTGCAGGTTTGGGCAGTGTTTTGAGGTTGGGGGGTGTGGCACTCAGTGCGATAGAGCTGATCTCAACTTTTTCTGTTTTGGAAGTAGTGGCTCAAGGCCTTGTACGCCGGCACATGTAGTGACAAAATGACCATGTAGCACGAGCAAATGTCCATCCAGGTGCTTCAACGTCTCTCCTCTCCCTCTCTCTCTCTCTCTGGATTTTCTTTGAGCATCTTCTCTTCAATGTGTCTGACAAATACAGAGCCGCAAAAAAACTCTGCAAAACTGATCTATGCACAAGTCTCGGGTGAATTCTACACCTATATATCTTCTGCCTAAACACCAAGCAAAGGGAAAGCTCTGCAACTGCTCTTGCTAGGCCAATGTTAAATCAACCAACTCCAACACAGTCAAGGTCATGGTGCATGCAAATCCAGCAACACATGAGTGAAAGCCCTCACCTCCCATGCATCCGGTAGACCCAACAAACAGGAATCTGCCACAAACGCTTGTTGGGGCACCGTTACAACCTGTAGCACATACATGTACATACTCTAGTCATTCTCTCCAAAAAGCATCACAAGCATGACCAAAAGCACATTGGCTGCCATGTGTCCAGTAGATGCAGGGCAAAGCTGCAAAGCACTAGGTCGTAGATGGGCTCCTGGAGTATTTGTCATTGCTGATCTGACCCTCAATATGGATAGAATGCTCAAGATTCAGGAGTCTTATATGATTATATGTAGATTGCCACCTGGAAGTCGACTCGCGAGGCTTTCAACAAGCAACCTACGCAGGCCAAACTTGGCTGACGTCACCATTTAAGGTACCAGTATGTGGTCTCCCGGCTTTCCAGGAACATTCACCTATTCTGCAACTGACCTACGACTATGTCCGGTGTGCACGGATTTTGTTCATGCCTGTTGTCTGGAATGTTTGCCTGAGGCGGAATATTGGAAAATGGTTGATCTCCTCCTCCAAAACACCGTCAGCCACATCTTGAAAACTCCAGTGATGACATCTTCGCCCGACGCGGCGCTCGAAGGCCTGCCCGTCCGGGACAAAGCGGGACAGTGAGCGAGCGTGCCCTGTTCAGATATAACACCTACACAACACACCTGCAGCCCCATACAAAGACCACAAGTAGCAGTGTGCCCTATCAGGCTTGTCAGCTTATACAATCCTATACAGTGCACACAATGTTCAAGCCGCAGGGTAATTGTACTTGAAAACCTGTCACCATGCTTGGCATCCCGACAGATCCCGCCTCGAAGGTGTAAGGATCTGCAGCCTCGAGCACTGGCTCCATGGCACCGGTTTGGGTCTTTTCAAGCCACGCTTCCAATGCTAATGTTGCTTCACCACTACCGCAGGCTAGGTCCAAAGCGCGGAGAGGTGAAGACAGGTGCTCTTGCCACTGATCTAAGGCAATATGAAGGGCCTGGCAGGGCAAAATGCAAATATCGCATATCGCTTCACTGCTTGGCTGAGGTGCTTAACTGCTTGGCTGGGAAAGACCTGTTGTCAAAATTTCGCGCCATATATCAATCTGTCGTAAGCCCCGGAAATCCCTAGCATAAACAACAGCAAACCAATATACACCATGATCATGAATCATCTGCACCAAAGACTTTAGAGATGGGAAAACTATCTGGCTTGCACTTTATGTCGTCTAAATGAGGTTGCAATAATGGATTAGTTGTGCCTGTCCAACTGATGTGGAAAATTCATACTTATTTTTTGCAGTGTAGTCTTGACCCTCTTTCTTTAGGAATCACAACCCAGGTCTGGTGGGCTACGCCGCACGAAAAGGAATGGTAGCTTACGGGCTCCTACCGACCCCTACAACTTTATGCATTGACTTCATCAATGGCACCCTCCGGCCTCTGACAGACGGGGCTCATGCGGATTGACATACGAGGCACCCTTGGATGCATAGAAGCCAGCTGCACCAAGCTCTTCATATGCATCGCGCACGCTGTCATGACCAAAGGCCTCTGAGGCTACCTCACTCCTTGAGCGCAGGCCTTCTTCCAAGCAAGCCTGCTCCATGGCACAAGTCCTCTCGACAAACTCTGAATTTTGCACATATCCTGCGTCGCCTTGCCCTTCATCGGCAGCACAAGCATTACAGGCCTTCTCATCCACTTCAGCATCGGAGTCAAAGACCTGGGGTGCACTTGGCCCTGGCAAATTCCTATCCACAAGCTTCACATCCTGCTTCCGCTCCTTTAACTTGCGCGGCATGGCATGGCTTGGGCAGAAATGGCCAACAAAAGAAAAGGAGATGCTTGCTTCACGGAGTCTTCAACTCCTCAAGTTCAGCTCGTGTCATTACGGTATAGCATCTTTGTAATATGTAGCTTGCTACCGCCTGCCAGCACACACATGAAGAAGAGCCAACCGTTCAGTCAACACTTGTCTCCAAGGTTGTAGCATTTTCTAACTTTTTCACTAGGTCGTTCAACACATGCAGGGGGACGGGTCACCACTGATACTGCCCGTCCAACGAAGAGGGTATCAGTTGGTGCTGAAGCGGTGGAGGACGCTCCACAGTGTACCTGCATCGAACGCAATGACTCCACTGGTCCACCCTCTGCGGTCTTTTGTTTCCATGGTCTTTTGCTCATGATACCTCCCACAAACCATCGCTTTCTGCAGTCGTGCCAGTGTTGCTCAGCTCGCTGAAACATTTTGTTCAAACACTTTCAAATCCACTGACTCAGCCACCTTTCGGTTCCTGCACCTTTCTGTTCCATCAAGTCAAGGGCTAATGCGTGTAAAGTGGAACTTCAATCACCGACTTAGCTCTTGCGAGCATCCATCTAAGTGTGTGTGTGTGTGTCTGGGGGGGGGGGTCGGCAGCCTTGAAAAAGGCCTTGCAAAAAACATCCGTCGCACACTTCGCAATTCAAAATCCAAGTCTCAGCCTGTGAGAAGCGGCACTTGTCTCGCATGTCATGTTCGCCTGGGCCATGCAAAAATCTCCAGAACACTTCAAGAGATGTGGCAGTTCACGGTCTAGTGGAGTAGAGCCGCGTCAGGAACCTACCCCGCCTCGTTCTAGATGGTGGCCACACTGGAAGTATTTGAGCATTGGGTGGCAGCAGGTCACGCAGGGCGTGCACAGGTATTCCAGCCACTATGGGTGCGGCACTCTGTGGAAAATTCCCTAAGTCGCGAGAAAATGAGCCAAAACTTAGTTCAGCATGGGCCTGGCCATCCTAAGTATCCAGCATCCAGTTATCCGAAAAAATGCGGGCCGTTTCTTGCAAAAGATCTGAGTGTCTGACATGCAACTGTGAACGCAGCGACCTCATTGGCAGACCCTAGCTCGAAAGCTCATGAGGTTTGGCTGCAAACATTCGGACAGAACACGCAAAAATGCTGCAAAAAGATTGCACAAGGATGGTCACGCAGCGCTGCTTGAAAAGAAAGAGCGACCTCCAAGTCCTGTCCCCACTTTTTGTGACGGAAGAACTCAAGGTTCGACACTTCTGGCGCGAAGACTGCATTAGCCAGCGCCACCCAAGGCATCACATTGTGAAGGCGAGCTAATCACGACAAGCATTTTGCATCGTGAAGATCTTGTTCAATTTGGATCATGATTGGCCTTGCTTCTATGAATCTTAGAATTGCGACTGGTCATGGCAGTGGATACTGTTTGTTTAATGAATGCTTTGAAACATCTCCAGTCGCCTAGTGAAACATGGGGATCGGGTGCCTGTCCAAGGGGTCAGGCTAAACACAAAACGATCAAGCTGGTTCAACCGTTCAACCAATATTCTAGCAAGACTTTATGCCTCAAGACTTGATGCACACCTTGACGTCAAAGCACAAATTTCATGGCCTTTGCAAGGCTGCACACCCTCGAAAATGTCAGCCCTTACTATGCCAAACTCATCGTCACAATCTGCTTGCTCTAGTCAAAGAGCGCGACAGTGGTAGTGGTCACGCTGGTGACCTCGACCACCATCGACCACCGTCGGACCGATTTTCCGAAAAGCAAAAAACATCAACGGACCGTGCAAACGGGGTTGGTGCCTTGAGATTGAGCCGTCCAAAATATGGCTGATCACCAACAGGCTGGTGACAGAGCTTTGCTTCGGTGAGGCGGAAGGGAACAGAAGGTCCATCTTCTGTGGCCTCCGGCTCACCGGGCAGCTCGACAGGGTCCTCACAGTGCTTCATGTGTCATTCCAAGTTCAGAACTCGGCATGACAAGCACAAGACCGTGAGAGTTATAAAATTGGGTCACGCTCCAATCTGGGTCCAACACTCTTCCATATCCGGCTGAGAAATAACATAAACATTTAAACCATCCACCCCGAACCTCCAAGTCGTAGAGGTGCAAAGTTGGCGCTGGTGGTTTGGACCCTTTCTTCGGAGGTGGGCCAGCACGCAGCACCCGCGCTTCAAGTCGGTCTATCACAAAAGCTAACCTTGCAGAATGAACTGGTTGCACGGTGCCATTAATTCGCCTTCTTGCCATTCTAGTGAATAATTTCGCACCTATCTCAAAAAAGAACGCACTCTGATTGTATTTCTAAGTTGGCCAAACGCTATATACTTCGAACAATAAAGGAGATCTCAGGAGTCAGATTATGGACAGCATTGCAGTGTAATTTTCTCAGTATGCAACTTCGGCTGTTGTGGTGCACTCACGCAAAAGAACCCTCATGCATGCCGTTGCTTAGCTTACCTAGCTGCTTGAACACCCGCCTCCCATTGCATTGGCCGAAGCGGTCACGACCGGTGGGTGAACCATGCACACCTCCAGCACTCGGAAATGCCGCATGGTCGCCAAGCATGCGGGAGTAGGCTGATGAAGCCTTGGCAGAGGACCAGCCCGTGGGAGGGTGACGCCGAGCCTTGCCTGCCGAGTCCGTCTCAAAGTGCAGACGGATCACACTGAACAAATGCGTTCGCATCACCATGCGTTGGACCTAGATTGGAACCTCTCTGCTTCCAACGCCACTGGTTGGTGGGCAACAGTTTCAGTGGCAACAGTTTCCATCCAAAGGTGGAAGACTCCCCGATGTTTCTTGGAGACTCACGCCATCCTGACATTAAAGGTGTTCAATCTCCATGCTTAAAAGCAAGCCCACAGGCGCTGTTCTGCTGTCTGGTCAACCAGCGTTTGTTTCGAATTCACTTCTTAAAACGAAACAATGCCCCATTTGGCTGCGCTCACCTCCAGTCTGTGGATGACCCTCCACCTTTGCAAATAGCAATTCAAAGTCCAGCTCCTCCATTGCGGAGCGTTGACCCCTCACATGTCATTTCTGAGCCAGCATGGCTCGTCGACCGGAATTGCCCCAATTAAGGCCGGAAGGACGTGCCAGAGCTGCAAAGCACCACTCAGCACCCATTTCACCGCATGAGTCACTGCCCCCCTCGCGAAATGAGCTGCTTGGAGCCGGGCCGCTTCCGGAGCCTTTGACCTGAGGCCAAAACGTTCGATTCGATGTCTCAAAACCAAATCCGTTCGAGAAAATCTGGGGAATACTAAAGACTTGGCTCAAACGCACAGCTGCCAAAGTGAGAAGAACCGTCCTGAACACAGCAAATTAACAATAGGTCAATAGGTGAGTAGCCATCACTTGGATGGAATTGTTGATACAAATCAATGACGGCAACCTTGTTTTGTGCATTTGATCACGTTCTTGGCATCTTGTCTGCACCAGCCCGGTTTGCAATGGAAAAAGCCAAAGCTTCTCCTGGGCCCTGGTTCAGGCTTGGAGCCGCCTGTTTGACAGCCAAGGCTGATTCGGAAGGCCCAAAACAAATGCTCTCCAATTAACTCGACCGCAAAGGCAACTGCGACAAGAGTCTGATTCGCACTCAAGCAGGCATTTGTCAAACATATCCAAAACCACTCACACGTTGTCACACCATAAGCCATTTTCGTGCCATGGGAGTGCACCATGCACCCAGCCTTCTCCAGCGATCCATCTCGTCTCAGCTGTGTGACAACTTGGGCAACAAGCCGACCTTTGGAATGCCAGAGGCTTTGCACCGACATGTGGGGCACCAAGCCATCCAACATCCATGGCAGTTGCCGAAGCACCACGACTGGTCCACTGCTGTAGGTAAGTGTGACTGTTGCCATGTACCTGCCATGTGATCTGCCCTGTCTTTCGTGTCCTGACCAAGGGCTCCGAGCGTTTTCCACATGTGACATGATGTCCTGAAACCTGGGACCACGAGGGCACGAGGCCACTTGTGTTCTTTCCGTGTGAGAGCTAATGTCTCGTGCATTTCTGCTGGACATGCGACCATCGTCAAAGGGAGGCCAAAAACGACAGCAACGGAAGGAGCTGGGGAAGCAGAATCTAAGCTCGCCTTGCCAAGGACGGTGTCCAACCAAAACGGCACCGTTGCCACACCGATACGCATCAACATGCTGCGCTGAAACCGTTCGTTTTTTTTCACTGGGGCCATCATCTGCTCGCCATCATTCCTGATCAGCAATGCAGACCTGGCACGAGGAGCTGCGACCACACCACACAGGATGCACAGCACCAAAGGTCAGGGGCGTAAGGCTTCCGGGAAATCTCAAACCCATCCCTCGGTTCATTCCGCGAGGCACTGAAACGCCGAAAATGGTGCAAGTCGCAAGTCATCCCTCATCTCTGTCTGGCCAAGTGGCTCCCTTGCGGCGCTTCGACGCAGCCCGTTCCACGGCCGGCGGAACGGCCGTAGGGTCAGCCTTGCGACGGGTGCCTGGCAAGGTGAGTGACAGGCAGCACCGGGCTCGGGGATTGGAAGCTCTGTGAGCAGGTAGATAGTAGCTTCTTGTCACTAGTAGCTTCTTGTACCTAGCAGTAGTAGCGATGCCAGGAGCCCCTAGTAGCTTCTTGCTACTAGTTCTTCTCAAAAACCCGATTTGCAAAAAAAAACGCCCAAACAGTACACCGAGAATCTGGAATCTTCAAGTGGTTCCATTCTCCCTTGGAACTCAAAATAGCACAAAAACCTTGGCCTCGGCCAGCCACACATTCCTCAAGGATGCGAGTGCCTAGTGTCACGGAGCGTTCTTTTCAGTTCCAAGAACTGCTTGGTGTGCATTAAGATCCCCAAAGACACCCTGGAGGAAGGAAAATTTTAGATCAAAACCCATGGTGTGAAGCTCCATCCGTGCTACATGACATCTTGCAGTGTACGCTTCTAGTGTATGCTGAAGACTTGTTGCTGGGAATCAGTACACCATAAGTACTCTGTCAGGGCCGAGCTCGACAGTTCTCCATATGTAAAGATTAGTGAACCAAAGGCCACGCTGTAGCATTTGAAGCTATTTTTGGCAGTGCTTTTGGAGAGGAATGGACGGATCATCCTGTATATCACAAGATCCACAGATCCATTTACTGACAGTCACCCGACACCAGAAACCAGAGGTCAATCGGGTATGCACTCGTTGCATTGGTTCAAGTGGAAAAAGAGCGTGAGCGAGTACAGTTGCTCTTCATGGTAGCGGAGCCATGGCATCTTTACAAGATCCAGGATCTCCTGCAGTTGAAACTGGGACATCAGTTAGCGCTGAGCGTTTCCAAGGTTTGGAACAGCAAGTGTCCAGTTTAGCTACCATGGCTAGATCCTTGCAAGATGCTATTGGTTCGTTGGTACCTGCAGTAGAAGCATTGACCACACGTGTGAATACGCCACCACCTGTGTATGATGCGCTTGAATCAGGACCACCAGCACCAATGGTTCCTTCACCAGATGGTTTGCAATTGCCCATCCCACCTTCCGGAAGTCCACGAGATAGGAATGTTGACCCATTGCAAGTTCAGGATCCATGGCAGAATTTCCGTCGTAATGTTCAAGACACGCCTTTCAATAATCCTGACCCAGCAAATGTCAATCTTCCTCCACCAGGGATGCAGCAGTCACCAACCGCACTTCGAGATGCTGCTGAAGTGTACAAAGGAAAGGAAGACTTGAATCCTTTCCGACGAAGTGAGAAATGGATGCCAGCTTATCCAGTTCCCCAACATGACAAATGGACCACACGACCAGAAGAAGTAGAGGGGTTCATTAGCTACATCCAAGAGCTAGCTTCATGGGCTGGATTAGGAGACAATGAATGGCCACGAGAGATCCTTTGGTCCCTTCGAAGTCCATCAGTGATTACCTGGAATCAGATGAACGCAGCACAGATTACCAGGTCCACTCGGTTACTTTCGATTTTGAAGCAAGTGTTTTCCGGTCATGCTAGGGCAAGCTTGATTTTGGGAAACTATGAATCGTCACAAAACCGAATGAACTGTTGTGGCTATGAAGGAGTTCGTTTGCTTTCACGAGAGTTTGGAATCAAGACCAGGACAGAATTGTTGTTCTTTCGCAATCGAATCACCAGTGGAACTTTCAAGTGTGCCACCATCCCCGAGACCGTTCGACAGATCCAGCATGAGTTGTTTAAGTTTGCACGCATTCAGCAATTGGTTGATCCAAGTGTGAACAGTCAACAACTGGAAATCATGGAAGCTGACCAGATTTTGATTCTTCTTCGATCGTTGCCAGATGCTTGTCGTCAATGGTTTGTTCTCAATGTTGTGCAGGAAAGCTTTCAGGCATACTCAGATGCAGCTCTGAGATACGAAGCACAGCAGAGAGCATGGTCTGAATTGAACCACAAGCCCATTGCACCGTTCAAGGAGAAAGGTAAAGGCAAAGGTGACAAAGGCAAAAGCAAAGGTAAAGGTAAGAGCAAGAATAATGAGCACCAGACCGAGAAGACTGAGACCCGTTCGTGCTTTGAATGTGGAAAAACAGGCCACCTTTCCAAAGATTGCCCCCAGAGATTGCAGAAGTCGATTGATGGCAAGAGCAAAGGCAAAGGAAAAGGCAAAGATAAAGGAAAAGACAAATCCAAGGGTAAGAAAGGTAAGCGAGCAGCAGAGTTTTCCGAATCAGATGCCTCGTATGACGCATATGAAGATGATGATGCATGGTCAGAAGCAGATGAAGGAGGTCGTCTCGCAACGTTGGTTGTAGAAACTCAGACATGTGCCAAGGTTGAACTAAAAGAGAAGAAGTCGAGCACATTGTTTGGACGATGGTTTCGTTGCATGTTCGCCGTCCTGTCATTGTTTCTGACATGTCTCATGATGCATTTGTGTCATCGGTATCGGTATTTCGGACAAGAGTGTTTCCATCCATTCTTTTCGTCGGCCACGGAAACTCCGATCGAAGCAGGGTATTGGCTTGTTGATTCGGGAGCTTCACGAACTGTTGTGAGTTCAGATGCATTAAGTGCATATCGCATCATTCGCGAACGATGTCTTGACAACCCACTTTCGTTCCAGACAGCGAGTGGTGATGCCATCCATGTTTCGAGAGAAGTGTTCATCGAAGTTTACTTCCGAACTCAGGTTGATTTCCAGACGGAGTATGAGAAGTGCAAGACTTTGCGCTATGAGCTTCGATGTGTCGTGGCACCGGTGCAGCATAATCTCCTTTCCGTGACGCAACTTGTGGGAAAGGGAGCTAAGTTCGAGATGAGTGGAGATGGAACATTCATCATCCTAGATGAACGAAAACAATTGATTTGCGATGTTTGGTCCGGTGTACCATGGCTTCATGCTAGTCTCAGAAGCAAAGCAGTTGGCATGCCTGCGGACATGGAAGTAGATTCAGAAGGTTCGCAAGATACCATGCATGTTGACAAGCTGTCTAGCAGTCTTACCTCGCCGACCGATTCGATCGCTATCAAGTATTTGCCTAGTGCATTGAAGCAGAAACCAAAGATGCATGCAAGTGTTTTGTGAGGTGAAGAGGAATTTTTCAAAGCTTTGGAAGAAGAGTACCCTCCCCATGAGGAAGACATGGAAGATCACCCCATTCCAGCAGACTTCGAAGATGAGGAATTGTCCAAAGTTGAGAAAACCCCCCCAGAGTTCCCATCCGATTTGAAGCTGTTGAAGAAACGCGAGGAAGAAGAGCTTGTTCTCCATCGACTGCGAGGACACACACCATTCGATGCCAGATGCATGGATTGCAAGCTATCCAGATCTGTCATGAGACATCCTAGAAGCAAAGAAAGTCGCAGTTCATTGTTGGTACAGGCTGATTTCTTTTTCATTGGGGATTACAAGTTCCTAGCTTTGTCAGAAGTGATGACTGGATTGATTGGTTGTGCCTTATGTGCCGGTGAGACAAACACGGACATTCGTGCATTTTTCAACCAGTTGGGATTGTTGGTTATGTCACCATCGGAAGCACATCTTGCGGTAGAGGTCAGAACAAATGCCGAGAAAGCAGTTGCTTCGATTTTGAAACGAGCCAACCTTCCTGTTCCCCTTCACATAAATGAAGCGGCGCCACAAAGTCACCAAACGGTAGGACATTGTGAGAGGACAGTTCGTCGTTTCAAAGAGATGATCAGTTGTTTGCAAGCAGATTTGCGGAGTCACGGATTTGTCTTGAAAGAGACCAAAGAGGCATACCGAGCAGTGACATGTTATGTAGCCCAAACACACAACCACTTTGGCATTGGCAGTGATTTCGGAAATCGTCGATCGCCAATCCAGTTGGTCATTCAAAGAGACTGCACATTGCCCACATCCACCATGTTCGGAGCAATCGTGTTTGCAAAAGTGAGTGATCACATGGAAGGACTAGTGGAAGAAGGTTCCAGATTTGTTTTGGGTGCATACATGCATATTGCATTCGGTAGCTTTGCACATGAAGTGTCAGTGAAATGCAAAGATGGAACAGTCAAACAGTTCAAGACTGAAGTTCGTCCTCTGAACAAGATTTGTTGGGAGTGTTCGTATTGTCCTGACATTCTCGCAAAGGCGACAGATGATGATGCACCTGCCGGAGAGCTGGACGTCAAGGATTTGCAAGATCCTGTTCATATGCACGTGCCTGTGTATGATCGGACAAAGTTGTTGCCACCTCCGATCGCTTGGTTGAGGTCAGAAGGTTTGACTAAGGACTGTAAAGCATGTGATGCTATTCGAACCAAGGGTACTAGGAAAGGACATACACATAGCAGAGGATGCTTTCGTCGATATACTGACTGGGTTAAAGCACAACAAGAGAAGTTTGAGGGAAAGCCTGAAGCGGCCAAGAAATCCAGTCGAGCTGAATTGGAAGCCAAACCAAAAGATGGTTCAGTTCCGAAGATGGTAGTTCCTCCAGATGCGAAGCCATTTCGACCATCAATACCTGTTTCCTCCCCAGATCATCCAACCAAAGGTCTTAGGTATGAGAGTAAGCGTCCGCCTGGTTCGCTTCAGCCTCCAGCAGTGGCTGTACAGCCACCTGAGACACCTTCTCTGCCTAGTGTACCACCCCCAGTGATTTTGCCAGAAGAAGATGTTCGGATGGATCGGGATGGGGAAGACGAGCCCGAGCCCAATCGCGTGATCGACGTCGAAATGGAACCAGCACCATTTCCGCCACTTCGAGCTGACTCAGAATATGAACCAACTGAGCCTCCAGAGGATATGGCAGTTGACCCAGAGCCAGATGACATGGATATTGGAATGTTTCTTTGTCCACCGCCAGAGCATTCAGGTGCAAGTCACGGCATTCTGTTTCCAATCTTTGTGCCGAAAGGACAGGACTTAGATGGAGTTCGTGCGTCGAAGTTTTCATTGTGTGGGACAGACATCTTTTTGATCGAACCATCGCAAGCAGTGTCAGAAGATGGTATGACCAATTTCACTGTTGAACAGGCCATCAAAGGTCGGGAAACAGAGTTGACAGCCATGCATGATCTAAATGTAGGCGATGTTTTGGGAGAGGAGGAAGCCCTTGCATTGTGCGCTTCTCGAGGCACTCAGGCCATTCCATGCAGATGGGTTCTAACAGAGAAAGAATCCAAAGGGGAGTTGATTTGCAGGGCACGATGTGTTGCTCAGCAGATTGCTAGGCTTGAGCCGTCGGCAATGAGGCTAGGTATTTCATCTAGCACACCTTCTCTAGAGAGCTTCAGGATCGTGTTGACCTTGATCTCTGTTTGGGATTTGGTGTGTGAGTCGTTGGATATCAGTACAGCCTTTTTGCATTCCGACTTACCTCCAGGAGTCACGGCAGTGGTGCGATTACCAACAGACCTCTCCATGACAACCTGCATTTTTGGACTTGCGTAAGGCAATGAACGGCCTTCGATCAGCAGCAAAAGCTTGGTTTTTGACTTGTTCCAATGAGTTGAAGGAGATTGGTTTGATCAGTTCGCCATCTGAACCCACCATCCTGTGCGGACAGTTGAAAGAGAGTAGAGCTTTTGGAGTCATCCTGATCTACGTGGATGATTTACTGATTGGGGCCTCTAGCAAAGAAGGAATCCAAGAAATCAAGGATACCTTGGGTTCTAAGTTGAAGGTGAAATCCACAGGAGTGATCGGTAACTCGAAGACCGAGGGAGGTTCCATTACGTTTCTTGGAAGGGTTGTTCGTAGATTGCCATTTTCGTCCAACATCCAAGTGAGAGTTCATCCATCGTATCTTGAGACGGTTTTCCAGGAGTTCGATGTGAAGCCAACCACCATTCCGCCAGATCTCCTGATCGACTTAGGCAAGATCAGTAAGAAACCTGATGAGGTTGAGAAGTTGAGTCCTGAAGGAGCACAACGTTATCGAAGGATACTGGGACGTGTTGCCTTGTGGGGCCAGTCGAGACCAGACCAAGGGAGATTCATCAGTCTCTTGGCGATTGGCCAAGGAGAGCCAAACCAGCATCATGAAAATGCTTTGAGGAAATACCTTCGTTTTGTTCGTGCAATTTGTCACTCATGGCATGTGTTTCCGACTGAGTACGTCATGGCAGTGACTTGTCCAAATCAGGAAGGGCTCCTAGTTGTTTCGGATGCTTCTTGGGGTCCAAATGACATGGAAAAGCGGAAATCCACCACCGGGGGAGCCATCTATTGGCATGGATGCCTGCTGAAGGCAGTTTCACGAGTTCAGGGATGTGTGACTTTGTCATCATGCGAAGCAGAAGTCATCTCCTTGTGTGCAATGGTAAAAGAAGCCATAGGGATTCGACACCTTGTTGAGTTTGTGAGCAGATTCGACAGAGTTCATGACTTGGAAGAAATGGTGAACACCAAAGCAAATTGGGAGTTCGATGTGGTTGGAAGTAGCAGTTTGGACTACCAGCCAATTCATGTGTTGAGCGATTCGGAATCGTGTCTAGCAGTCATGAAGAATGATGGATTGAGCAGAAAAGTCCGTCACTTGTCGTTGTCGGTTTGCTATGTACAGGAGTTGGTCAACAACGGTGTTGTTATCTTGAACTGGGTAGGTACAGCAGATTGTGTTGCAGATCTTTGCACCAAAATCCTTCCCAAGGAAGCGCATTTTCGGCATGCAGAGAATTTGGGGATTGTAGATGTTGACCCACCAGAGGGTTGGCAGTTAGAGTGTTCGAAGCAAGCTTCGAAACGGAAACCTAGGGTTTCGGATCCAGAGGGATCGAGTGGTTCACGAGGTGAACGTGCCGAACATGAGGTTCAGGCGGATGTGTCCCGTGAGAGGACGGTGATGTTCGATTCGGAATCGGACGTGCCTGACGATGATCAGGTGGGCTCTGAGCTGGCTAGCAAGCTAGAGCTGGACTTCGCGAAGAAGTTCGTGCCCGTACAAATTGCCCTTAGAGGTGTTGCCCTTAGAGGTGTTGCCCAGAGAGGTGTTGCCCAGAGAGGTGTTGCCCACAGAGGTGTTGCCCATCGAGGCGTTGCCCGTAGAGGCGGCTACACGATGTCTTCAGTCGTTCCGAAAGAGGTTGATACAGATTGCATCAGCCATCCATATGGGTCAATGCACACACGTGATAGTGGATGTTTGTACTAGTGGCAGAGCCGGTTTTACCCAGATTGAAAACAAGTTTCCTAAGTTGAGAGTTGTTTCAATCACCTTGGATACCCCTTTGTCACATGTGTGTAAGATGACTTGTGATTGGATGCAGCAGATCGGGAATTTAGTAACCATCCTTGCTTGGGGATCACCACCGTGTACTGGTGGAAGTCCTATGTTGCAGCTCTGCTCGAATGGAAAGAGTCTCTATGAACGCCATTGGCCCGAGTTTGTCCCAATTCTCCATGATGTTGAGTCAATTTTCCAAGAGGGGCATGTCAGGGCGCTAGAGCTTTCGAAGAGTTGTAGGTACTGGAAAGAGCAAGAGATTGAGTTGTTTGTGGAACGTCAAGGTCTGAAGCATGAGATCGTGGTAGCGAGATGTGCGTTCTCGACAGAAGAGGTTCGAGCGAAGCACGAGTATAGGATCATGAGCAGTCATGATGAGTTGGCCAACAAGAAGATGCCGGTGTGTAAATGTTTCAAGCATGCGCCCCTGAATCATCAGGATTCGAAGAGTCTTGGTTTATATCCTTATCGTTTCGCACTAAGGTTTGCCAGGAACTTCATGAAGATTTTAATGAGATCTCACGTGTTTAAAGATGGATATCCAAAATGTATCACTTTTTAGCTTGCAAGCACATATTTTTTTGATTCAACTAAGTTGAACCAATCTTCATCTTTTGCTTAGCCATGTCCGACACTCCGGATTCGGGTACCTCTGCAAGAGAAGCTCGGAACCTGGGTGAACCCTATGTTGCAGAAGATGATTTGTTTCATCTCTTAGCAGATGATGTACGTACAGCAGATCAATCTCCAGACCATCCAGAGAGATTGGACAATGTTGCGGGAGTGAGTTCAACTGATCCACCTAGAGGTCCACAAAATGATACCGGATCCAGTGTTGATGCTCATGGGATTGTTGCACCACGTCGAAATTCAGCAGGAACTGTGATGACCACCTTTAGCAGAAGGGAAGTGGTGCATTTCTCCACGTGCCATCATTTGGCACGAGCCGATGTTCGTCGAAGCCGATTTCTTGAGTACAAGACCTGCGAGTGTATCAATTTTGATCTTGTGGAATCTGGACGCCAGCTGTATGGCGATTTTCCACGAGAAGGTTCACAAGAGCGATTCTTGCACATTGGTCCATACTGCGCTTTTCGGCAATCGGACACCTTGGTGAAATATCGAGTGTGTGCGAATTGCTATGAGTCGAAGCCACGCGGCTGAGATTCATGGCTGAGATTCAAAGCTGGAAAGAATACAGAGTGTTTCAAAGTTTTTGTTGAGATCCACAGTATTCCGGTCCTAGTTCCTTGATTGTTTTCGATCATTGGAATGCAGATTTAGATGTTCCGATGAGCTGTGGAAGAGAAGTCTTTTAAGCAACAGCCATTCAGCATGGGGGGGTGTGAAGCTCCATCCGTGCTACATGACATCTTGCAGTGTACGCTTCTAGTGTATGCTGAAGACTTGTTGCTGGGAATCAGTACACCATAAGTACTCTGTCAGGGCCGAGCTCGACAGTTCTCCATATGTAAAGATTAGTGAACCAAAGGCCACGCTGTAGCATTTGAAGCTATTTTTGGCAGTGCTTTTGGAGAGGAATGGACGGATCATCCTGTATATCACAAGATCCACAGATCCATTTACTGACAGTCACCCGACACCAGAAACCAGAGGTCAATCGGGTATGCACTCGTTGCATTGGCTCAAGTGGAAAAAGAGCGTGAGCGAGTACAGTTGCTCTTCACATGGGGCCAGGGGATCTCCATATTAAAATACACACTCAACTTTGACATCTGACACTGCCTGGCACTTCCAAAACCAAGGCCTGGCGTTGTGAACGCATCTGGCCGCGCGGAGGTCCGTGAACTCTCCTCTGGCACCTCAAGCTGGGCTGGCAACACACGCCATTTTTAAAAGACAAGGTGCACATCCAACCCAAAAAGAGAAACTGTTTACTGCACAGTACTACTTCCTCCACTTGTCACCAAAGTGGCACTGGACCGCTTCCGGAACACCGGCTTTGGAGCTGCAGCCACTGCAGCGTCCGCTGCCGTCATGGAAGTGTCAGCGGAGCACGGAGACTTTGCCCGTCTTCGGAGCGCTGCGAAAAGCTCCTCGAGTGAAGGAATTCGTCTTCACGCGGAGTTTCTTTTCTACACCTTAACTATGAAAAAGATGCGCGGCTACTGTCCCACCAAAGGTGCCAGAAACAAGCTGTTCGTGTAGTTTGATGCGATTGAAGTTTGAAGGAGCTCCAGCCAGCAGCCCGAGAATGGTAATTACTAGATTGCGGCCCACTGCAGGAGAGTACATCCCCTCAGCAGCCCAGCAGTGCGTCCTCAGCGGCCCGGCGGTTCTGCTCAGAACTGCTGGTTTCGACACCTGGACAGCACAGCACCCGTCACGGCCCGTCACCAAATGAGGATATGACAGTGAGATGGCAAACACTGTGGAAAGCTATCTGCAACATGGCAGTGGGTGCATGTATGTCTCATGTCCCTTCATATGACTTCTGAAGTACAGAGAGAGCAGAATGTGAGTGAGCTTCATGTCGATCGTGTTGAATCCCACACCACACATCAAGCCGACAGTTCACCTGCTAGGGTGTGCAACTGCCATTTCTGCCGCGCAGCTTGCAACTCCGACCTGACATCGGGAACAATCACACTCATTGACAACTTGACAGGATCGCAAAACCACAGCAGAAAACAAACAAAATCTGAACCAACCAGCTATACAATCGTTTCTGAATGATTTTTTGAGCGGTCTGTCTTAAGGGTCGGTGAGGTGGCCAGGCTGCTTGGAGAGATTTTTGAAGCGCGGCCCGAAGGAGCTACCGCCTGGAAGAGGCGGCACTGCGCCTCACACTGCGTCAAACGGCCTAATGACCGCGTTGACATTATACAGCATGTCCTGGAACAGGCCCACATGGAACCTTAAAATCACCGGTTTGTGGAGGAAAATGTGCTTCCAAAGTTTCCAAAGGTATGTTTTCAGGTTCCATGTTAATCTTCCCGGTGCATTTGTTTCATGATGTTTCATGCATTTCGGGCACACACGGAACCTCGAAGCCTCGAAGCCACAAAAAAACAAGAAACACAAGCGAAAACACAAAGGCCTACTACGAATTAGTTTGTCTCCACCCCAGCCTTCTCCAGCCGAGGCCACTGCATGAAGCACCTCCTCGCAGGCACTTTGTGCGTTCGGTGCGCCAGGAGGCAGCTCTCGGACGAGGTGGCGCTGCTTTGGAGCAGTGGGTGTGCTGCCTGAGAGTGGCAAGGCTTGGATGAATCGAGGCGTCCCAAAGCACAGCATGCCAATGACGTCTTAGATTCTTCAGAAATAGCATCCCTTGCAGCACCTCAAGTTAACAGTCAAAAGTCAAAACGCCTGTGTTGTTTGTTTTTGCACCCCTGCAACCTTACTCCTTCGGGCCCCAATGAGGTAGCAAGCAAATCATTCACAGTGCCAAAGGGATCAAAGAGGTGCACCGGATGCGACCAATGTCTTTATCAGGCCTGGTCTCTCTTCCTCGTCATCCTCGTCTATCGCCGCGCTGTCGCTATCGCTCTCGGCGGCATTCAGAAAATCCACGCGCTGGTCTTCTTGCAGATCGGCCGCGGCGCGCGCACTTGCTTCCGCCGAGACCTCGATCTCTTCCTCAGTTGTGGGGCCGTTTTCCGCAGAAAACCAAAGTCCAACGGTCACTGAGTTTTGGTTTCCAACCTCCTCTCCCCGGCACTTCTTGCCGGTTGGCCCAAACTGCGCCAACTCTGTCTCTAGCTTGCTTTCCAAAGCCAACGATGCGATGGAAGCCTTTTCCAGGGTCAAATGGTGTGGTTTATGTGAAGGTTGATCCGTGAGATCGATTGTACAGGGCATGATTTCATCATTTGCTGTACATTTGGTTGGTCATCTCGGCTTTGACTTGAGTTGAGGGAGGGGAACTCACAAAAAGCGGCGACGCGCCTTTTCACAACTTCGAGCCACTATACAGCGGAGTGTTCGAGGGTGCTCGTGAACATGTGCTCATCTTTCACACCCTGCCTCAGAAATGACTTTCTTTAGTCCTTTCTGCAAAAACATGCAAATCTGCTAGCCATCGTTGCCTTCGCCGGTCTCATCTCTAGGTCGTCTTTTCGGCACGGCAATCCTGATGGTTTCGCTCTCAGGGGGTGGATCCCACGGGCCATCGAACTCACTGTCCTCTATCAGATTTCTCTGAATGCAGGCTCCGGATCTTCACTCTCCTCGAGCCTCTCTGCAACTCCATCTGTTGCACTTCCTTCTTCTTCAACTTCACATTCTGAATTCATGGCCAAATTGGCCTCGCCACCAGCTTCTGTCGCGTTCTCTTCGAAAAACTCATGGGTCCGGCCAGCTTCACACCACTTGTGAAAAACAATGGAAGCTGCCATGTAGGACCTTGGGTCATCCTCTTGGAACATCTTCACCAGATGGTAAAGGTATGACCACGTTCTGCGACACTGGCTCAACTGAGGAATTGCTGGCGGGAACGTTTGTGCCTCAATCTCCAACAACCTCATGCGCTCCTTCAATGATCTGCTCACTTGCACAACTTCAGCTTCTGGTCCACCTGTCGTCATCCTGAGCTCTTCTCGCGGGTGAGAGATCAAAAAAAATAATTAACGCATCAATAAAAAAATATTCCACACGCATCAAAAAAAATATTGAATGAATCAAAAAATCCAACTAGCAGTAGCAGTAAGAGTAGCAACCGGACTAACAGCAGCAGTATCGTAGTGGTAGTCGTAGTGTTTCGTGGCAGGCGCAGTACTTTGTGGACCTTGCAACGCACATTTCGTGGCAGGTGCAGGACTTTGTGGATGTTGAAGTGCAGA